AGTGGGGAGTCTAGGAGAAAAAGAGAACGGTTAGATAGAGCTTTAGGTCCATCATAAAGCCATTTATGCCAGTGACTGCTGTGTGGCACATTCATCCCGTTTTACAGGGAGGAAACTGGGTCTGAGAGAGTGACTCATCCAGTGTTACATACCTGTACATATGCTACAGCCAGGATTTGAATGATTTTTCTGATGCCACAGCTTGGCTAGACCATCTCTAACTATGAAATGAGGGTTGGCCTGAGTGATTCTGCTTTGATAGTTTCCAACCACCTGAATGTTTCCAACAAGTATACAGGGTTTAATCTTTCCAATTCCCAGCACCCAGGATCAACACAGGATTATTTCACACTTGGCCTAATGTCTTATTAACTACTGACTTCCAAAGACTGCAGGTAGAAAAATGGTAGAAATGACCTTAGGCAGTGTTGACCGGAATATAGCCCACTATTCTCACATTATTGGCATGGTGGTACCAGCCTAAGGAGAGGGGAAGATGTTTGAACTTCTAAAGGTATCAGTCAGTTTGGTCAGTCTGGAATGAATCTCTGGAATTCTTAATGTTTTTAAAAAGCTCCTCATGTCAGTCATGCTGATGTGTCACCAAGTTTGGGAACTCTTATCCCAAGTGGTAGAATGGAGACTAGACAGAAGTTCTCAGAAAGTAGATTTCTCTCAAATTGAGGAAACATTTTTTAACACCTAGAGCTGACCAATAGTAGCAGCTAACCACCTTAGAGTACTGAGCCTGTCATGCTTGGAAGCATTCAAACCTAGGCCTGATGGTTGCTGGGGTAAGAGAGACAAACCTGACAAACTAGACAAAACAACAACAACAACAACAACAACAACAACAACAACAACAACCGAGTGATGCCCCAAGGGCATTTTTAAGGGTACTTTTTAGTTGCAGTCTTACTGCCCTGCGTCCATCTGATACCTCTTAAATGACTTTGTCCGTGATTTTGGGCCTGGTGCTCCTTCCCTTTGGCTGCACAGTGGGAGAGGTTGGCAGGATCTTGCAAAGTTGCATTCACTCTCTTCCCAATCTAGGAAAATCGTCTTTGTATGGAAGCTGTTTCTTGTTTCTGGCTCTTAGCTTCCCTCGGCCACCCTTCACCCAACCCAGCAGTGCCAGAGGGGCTGGGTGGGCCCTGCAGAGTGTTTAGGAAACTGTAACTTTAGGCGATTAAGCATTCCTTCCTACTAAACTCAGGGTGGCCATATCATCGTGCTGTGAAGAAGGGGAAGTTCGGGCCAAGGTGCTCTTGTTGCATTTTTCAGAGCTGTCCCATATCCTTTCTTTGGTCTCATGTGTTAGAGAGGAAATCAAGACCCCAGGGTCATCCAAGAAACCACAGGACAGGTGAAGTAAAGGTGGTGGTCCCAAGTGCCCGGCTTTAGAGTCAGATGCACCTCAGTTTGAATCCTAGCTCTGCCCCTCACCATCAAGTGGCTTGTAAAACAGGGGTGTAGAAGTTTTACAAAAGGGCAATGGCAGTCAAGTCAGTAAAGTCGTAGGATGGTGTCTGGCAGGTAAGAAATATTCGGTACGTGTTTAGCTACTGTAACGATCATCGTCATTGTTTTCGTCTGTCACCGGACACTAAAAGATGACTATAAAAGGCAGTGTGACTTGAATTAAGGCTGTTTACTTGTTAGTCTTTGAGGGTTAAGGATGAGAAGTATAGACTGGATTTCCAAGCAGCCTTTCACAGCTGAAGCATCAAAGTTAAATGAACAATGGCCGCTGTAGAACTGTGGCCAGTCCACCTTTGCTCTTTCGTGTACATGACCTCGCCCTCCGAGGTTGTGGCCATGCAGCCTCTTAATAAAGCAGTACAGGCTTTGCTTTCCTGGCTGGCTTCCTTTGTAACACTCAGAGCCATCCGTGCTGGCGGTGGGGCCAGCCGGGGCGAGGTGGGGAGTAGGGGAGTGGGTCGCAGTGAAGCTTTTGGCACTCTACTTCTCTCTTTGCAAAAGTAGTAATATGGGAGCTCCAGTTTTATCATGTGGCAAACTCATGACAATGTCCAGAGACATGTCTGCTGCCTCTACTGCCCTCTGATCTGCCAGACCATTCCCCTGGGCCATGCTCTTTGCTGTTTGACCTTTGTATCTGCATCAGGGGATGACTGAATAGAAGATGGCCTTTTTAGTGGGCATGGCACTGTAGTGCCATTTGGCCTGTATAGTCTAGTCCCAGCCTGGCCCTTTGCGTCTCTGTGACTGGGCACATTGCTATCCCTTTCTGGTAGAGTGGAGGTGATAACATTGCCTACCTCACAGGGTTGCTGTGAGGTGACATGAATTCATGAATGTAAAACCTTGAGAACAGCGTCTGTGCCACGTATGGGTTTACTGTTATTACTCAGGCTGCTCTTGGACATGGCCTGGTGTTGGTCCGTGGTCTGGTGGCCCTGGGTTATGTACATTAGCTTTATCAGCCAGGAGGCAGTGTTCTGGGCCAGCCCAGGTGTCCCCGTATCTGGAGCAGGAGGCCTCTGGGGTGATTAAAGTTGCCCTGGGCCCAGGGTCACTGGGGATTTGCCTCCCACCAACAGGGAGGGGACTTGAATGGTGTAGGGCTGAGGTTGTGCCCTTTTACCTCCTGGGGAGCCTCAAACATTGTGAGGGAGGCCAGGTATCTCAGGAGCACTCTGGCTGTCCAGTGTTATAGGATACCCGGATCAGTGGTGGGGCTGGTGTCCACACAGCCCTGAAAGGCTGAGGCTGATGGTGGGCTCATGGCAAATGACGTGCCAGGGGCCTGAGGTCAGCAAACAGAATGGGCGATTGGGTTCTTCCTGATTTAGACCAATACACTTGGATAGTCTGTGGTGGCTTTTCAATAAATGCTGGCCACAAGCATGTTCAGGGAAATCCTCATTTCTGCAAATTTGAAACCCAGCCTGACAAGCTCAGTTCCTCTCTGTTGGCCGGGGAGGGAGAGAAGTGGCTGACTGCTTTTCTCTACTCCTACCTTGCTCTTGCCCACCCTGTGTAGGCAAGGGTCACGTCTCAGTGTTGTGTTTTAACCACACGGTGGTTGTGGAACAAGGTGGGCTGACTCACCAGAGACTCTTGGCCTGGCTTGTGGCTATTTTTAGTGTTTTACTCCACAGTCTGATCTTTCACCTTTGGGGATTTTATTTATTTTTAATTTTTCACCTTTTGGGATTTTTGAAGAATGATCAAAGATGAGTCTTGAGCAGGATATTTGAAATGATCCAAGGAGGGCCAATCTTTTTGTTCTACAGGGGCAGAAAGAGGCCCAAAGGGGAGGATGTGCCCCAGACCCCATAGGGAGTTAGGATACAGCCTGGAATAGAGAAGACGTGAGTAGCGGGACTGTCTCTGCTGAACAGACTGAGTGCTTTTCTCAAAGGATTAAGCACCTTTTGCTGTTCCTCTGGAAATCTTAGGCTGCAAGTTTGGTTAAAAAAGAAATTCTAGACGGTCCAACAAAAAAGGCTGGAAACTGTAACAGGCTATAATGCTAACAAGCACATTTGTCTGGAAACTCTAATTATAAAAATGTGTGCTTCTTTGTCAAAGTTGAGCAAGGGCAGGGGCAGGCGGGTGCTTACTTGTCTCCCACAGGAATAACAGGGGCAGTGGTCATCAGCCAAGCTTTGCCCTTGGGGACCCTGACATTTCAGAGCAGGGAATAGCAGGGTTGCTTGAAGTCTCTCAGTTTGCTGATGATGCTGAGAGGACCGTAACCATCACCCCTTGAGGGGGCAGCTGGGGCTTGATCTGAGGTCCCTGATTGTGTCTGGTCTACCCTTCCATGGCCAGCAGTGTCACCTGTCCTGGACACTGCTGCTGAGGATAAGGGTATTGCGGAAACTTGTGTGCCTCCTTGGATGGAAGTCTATCAGAGCTTTTCCTGATCGGAGAAAACTGGGACCAACCATGGCCAAGGCAGACTAGAACTTCCAAGGAGGAAACTGTGAGAGGGACTCCTAATGCTTCTTTGAGTAGTAAATCAAGTACATGTAGCTTTATGTTGGGAATAAGATCAATGACATAAATAGGGAGAGCTGTCTCTGCCTCTGAGGACAGGAGAGCTTGTGTTGCTATTTATGTAGAGGCTCTATTCTGTGTCAGCCACATGCCAGGGATGCAGGGGTGAACACACAGATGTGGTTCTTCTTGGCCTTGGTGCTTATGGTTTGGACACCAAGAAATTCATATTATGGATGGTGTTGTGAAGGGAAAACTCTGAGTTTTTGGAATAATGGGAGGCCTGACTGTTTCATTAGAAGGATGGGAGGCCTCCATGGAGAGAGGTCTGGAGGGGGCTGAAGAAATGGGATGGAACAAAGAGCTGTGAGGGCCCCTGTGCATGGGTTCCGAGGCAGGGAAGGACTGAACCAAGGGTAGGGTTTGCACAAGGAGTGCAGAGACATGCAATGAGCTTAGGAGGTGGCGAGAGGCCAGATCATGTGGGGCCTTGGAAGGATTTCAGGTTTGGTTCTCATTGGAAGCCACTGGAAGGTTTAAGCAGGGGAATGGTTAGAGTCTGGCTAGGGGTAGAAATTAGATGAAAGAGGTAAAGGCAGAATTGGGGATTGTGTAAGTGAGGCAAGAGGAGCCGGCTGCTCGGCCTAGGGTGGGGGATAATAGGATTGCCATGACTGGCCTTGAGGTGTGTGGGGGTCAGTAAAGAACCCCAGCTCCCAGGATATTGTCACAGACCTTTAAACTCAGCCTTTCTGGAAAGAACTCTTCCTCTTCCCCAGTGTGCCTTTCCCCTCAACTTCACCACTCTTCAGAAATAAAGCTAAACCTATTTTTTTCATTTGAGAAATTTGAGTTTAGTATTTTTTTTTAACAGTCTTGTCAAATAGATTCCAAGTAAATGGTCTTTAATAATAATTTTCTGTACATAATAGACTTTATTCTTTCGAAGGACTGAGTGATGTTCCACCACAAAAATGGCTGTACCAACTGATTTAAACTACAGGTCTGTACTCTTGTTTCCCCCTTTGCAGGTCGACCAGTATCTCTACCACATGCGTCTTTCTGATGAGAACCTTCTGGAGATCTCTCAGCGGTTCCGCAAGGAGATGGAAAAAGGGCTTGGAGCCACCACCCACCCTACTGCTTCAGTGAAAATGCTGCCCACCTTTGTGAGGTCTACTCCAGATGGGACAGGTACTGCCCTGGGGTAGGGGGTGTTGGCTCTGGGTGGTCCATTGCTTGGGGAAGATTTGGGTGGCCTGGCTCAGGGTCCCAAAGAGTGATGTATATCAGTGAAGGTTCTTTGGTTTCACGCATCAGAAACTAGCCCTGGCTAGGTTAAGCATACAGGAAATTTAGTGAAGTCTGTAGGGTGGGGTAGACAGGAAAATGGGGCGAGCAGGCAACCATTTGTTTCCTGTCCATGTGCTGAGACAGGCTGATTGGCACACTCTGTCCTCAGGGTGATGGAGGACAAACACATTTAAGGGGGTCACAGCCATGGGCCAGGGCAGTCACTCTACGTGGCACATTCCACAGCCTTGCTGGAGAAACAGTACAGTACAGATTGTCCTAGATTGTTTCTTGAACTCTGTGAGAAAAGAATACTTGAGGTCCACATACACTTGGGACAACATGAAGAGCCACGGTGCAGCTTAAGGTATTAAGGGCTCTGAAGGTGTGCGCATGACCCCGCCAGGCTTTGTTTAATCCCCTTATTTGGATATAGACCCTAGCTTTCATGATGCAGCATCCAGGAAACCAGAGTGAAAGATCATGGTGAAGGTAGAATTTGGAAGGTAGGTTGGGCTAGATCACAGAAAGCCTTGCGTGCACACCTGAAACCGTGAGTCTTTCTTCAGTGAGCACTAGGGAGTAACCAAGTTCTCGCGAGGTGTGGGCAGAACGGCAGCAGCAGCAGTGGATGACGGGCAGCTGGTAGAGACAGAGTGTGGCCCTGGTGGGATGTGCTGGGCAGACACAGAGGACTCGGAGGTGATGCTGGGATGTCAAACCCTGCTGTCGAGGGGCGGCAACATCCTCAGAGAGGGGACGCAACTCAGTTGTGTCAGCACATTCACACAGCTTGTTTCACTTACTGCTCACAGTATCCGTTCGTTTTAGGGATGAGGTACCTGTGGGGGCCGCGAGGGGTGAGCAGTGTAGGATAACTACCCACATGTGGAGGTTGGGAGAAAGAGCCCCAGGGGCAGCTGCCAGGGCAGTGGAGGAACCAGCAAGCACAGATTCCCGAGAGCCTGAGGGAGGAGAGGCTTATCCATGCGCCATATGCCTTCAGATTTTCTATCCCATGTGGCCCCTTGAGGCTAACCTGCCTGAGAGCCTCTGGGGGCCTGGTTTGTCTGACAAGACTTTGTACCTTCCTACGATTTGTAAAACAAGTATGTTTGCCCTGGGACTCAGCCTGGACCCGGCACCGAGGGTGTGACCTTGTTCAGGGTTGTTCTGAGTATATGTCTCAGCCCTTCCATGAGTTCCTTGAGGTGAGTGGCCTCCTCCAGTTCTTGGGTATCCCTCGTATACCCTCCAGACTGGCACTGTTTACTGTACCTGCCACTCCCTCTGACCTGCAGCCACACCCGCTTCTATTGTTTTATTTGACATTCTGATAAATTTACTAGCTCCTTCAGGCCAGGGACATTGTTTTATTTCAGATACCACCACAAGGCAAGTACCCTGAATATTTACTAAATTTTTGTGGGCTAAGAGCTTTTCTGAGCACCTACATGCAGTAACTCATTTACTTTTGATAAAACCCTATAAGGTAAGTCCAAATTTTGTCTACTTTTTTTTTTTTTTTTTTTAAGAGGAGGAATTTGATGCTTGGATGGTCAAATAACTTGCCTAAGGTCACACAGCTAATGAGAGGCTGAGTCAGGATTCAAACTCATATATGCCAAAGGTCAGGCATCAAGACTGCACCCAGCCCATTGTGTGTGTGCGTGCACGCGTGAGCCTGTGCACTCAGCACCAGAGAACACAAGCGCAGCTGAAATTGTTTGAAATGTGGTTGGGGCTGGATGTCTGGCTTAAGTATAAGTAGGTGAATAAATTTGCTGAGGAGAACTAGGTTTGAGTCCGGCGTTTAAAATTCTCACTGCTTTCCTGAGCTTGGAGGCCTGGACACCTCCCTCTGCCTCAGAGTTTGCATCGATTACTGTGCTATGTGGTCACTGACTCTTCTTCCCTGACCTCAGGCTGGAGTCCTCGGAGTCCCGTCTGCGTGCCAGGCCGAAGCAGCAAGCATGTACTTAGCCTCCATGAACGTGAGGTGCCTGGACTGAGGATAAGAGTCAGAGGCTGACTCTCGCAGCCTTCTGGAGCACAAGGATCTAGGGCAAGATCCTTTTTGCCTGACCTCCTTTCCACACGGAAATGGAGATTTTACGTGACTTTTGTGATACACAGAGTGCCTCTTGATAATGTCAAACTCTACAGGGTAAATGGGGATGACGTGTATTGGAATGTTTTATTCACTTAAGCAGAAGCAAGTTCCGCCTAAGAGTGCTGTAGACCAGACTGTAGGAACCCCAGCCCTCAGCCCCTTCGTTTCTCACTTGCTGTGGTCCTTGGGCCAGCTCCTCACCTTAGCTCTCCAGGACTCGGCTTTTTCTCCTTTGTAAAATTAAGTGGTGGATCTGGCAGTCCCAATCTGTTCTACATTTGTACTAGAACCAGTGTGCTAGTTATCGATGCGCAAAAAAAGTTCTCTGAAATAGTGTGATTGGGGAAAACCCCTTAGTGTCCATCAGTTGGGCTCTGGTCAATTCATGCAGAAAATAGTCCTTTGCACCCATTATAAAGCATGAGATAGACTTACCTATATTCATACTCTGTAAACTCACATATATTTATGTGTGTGTGTACAGGTACATAAAGTCCCAAGGACGCACACTGAACTATTAATAGTAGTTTTCCTGGTACACGAGGTTGGCAATAACTAGTCAAGTTGAAGGTATGTGTATTTGATAACTCAGTAATACTATGTCCAACTATATTGTCACTTGAACAGACTTCCATATGAACCCAAGGAGGCATGTTCAAGAATGTTCCTAATACTGTTGCTTATAATGACAGCATATTGGAAACAGTTTATGGAATATCCCTGTGGATGGAATAACTATGTGGCATGTTACATAAATGAACATATATTAATACAGATACTTCTAAAAAACGGTGAGTGAAACATTGGGGAAGGACACATACCTCCTCCTAGTTGGATGTAACTTTAAAAAAATCCCTCAATGTCGTGCATTGCTTATGGACAGACACACATCATGAAATTATTAGGCTGTAATATGGAATATATACACAAGATGAATGATAGGGGTTGCTTTTGGAAATCAAGAAAGGAGAATGAAATTGGGGAGGGGAACATGAGAGAATGCAATTTAAAATGGTCAACATCAAGGTTTTATGCTTTGTTAGTGCTGGCTCAGAGTTATGGAATGTGGCATTAAGGACTGACTTCTTCAGTAGGTAAAGCCTATCAAAAATGAAATTTCTGGGGGTGCCTGGGTGGCTCAGTTGGTTAAGCGTCGACTTCAGCTCACATGATCTCATGGTTCGTGAGTTTGAGCCCCACGTCAGGCTCTGTGCTGACAGCTCAGAGCCTGGAGCCTGCTTCAGATTCTGTGTCTTCCTCTATGTCTGCCTCTCCCCCGCTCATGCTTTCTCTTTCTCTCTCTTAGAAATAAATAAACATTAAAAAAATATTTAAACAATGAAATTTCTGCTTTGTTGTTGGCACCCCAGTGAAGGGCTGAGAGGGGAGACCTTGGGGTCAGTTGTTTATAGGGATCTCTGCCTCTCCCCTAGATTGGTCACACAGCCCATGGGGCCTTGCTGCTGTGTTTGCTTCCTGGCCCAGGACACAGCCTGGGTTCTGTTGCTGCTACTGGTGGTTATGTGTCTCTCCCACAGAAGGCTAGGGGCTTTACTCAAGTGATGACTTTTCCACAATGTCCTTCCACAGCCTGTTCCTTGCCAGTATTATTTTTTGAATCTGGGTGATTAAACCTGGGATCTAAATCTCTGATCTAGAAGGACCTAATCTTTAAGTCAGTGGCTGTCTAACTTTTCTGGACTACAGGCTCATACCAAGAAACACCTATGTATAATTATTTATGTATGTACAGCTGGAACAAGTTTCAGGGGCCAATGTCTATTGTTAAGTGTGATGTAGTCAGATACATTGCAGTCCATTCTTTAAAAAAAGCTGCTAGTCAGGAGCTGCTGAGTTTTTTCCAGCTTGCAGTTTGAAAGCTACTGCCTTAAAGGCTCCTCACCCAGTCTTGTCCTAGACTGGCATTTGTAAAATTGACTACTTGGTGGGGAGGGAGGTGGTTTCAGGGCAGTGTGTCATGAGGGGTGAGGATAGAATTCTAGTTTAAATGGGGTTGAATTCAAGCTGTGTGCTTTAGAGCAGCTTAGAACAGGTTAGAGCAGTGTGTGCCCTGGTCCTCCATTTTCTTGTAAAAAGAACCATCAGGGGGTTGGTGATCCATGAATTAAGGGGGAATTGGATATGTGACCGTTTCATGTTCTGTAAACACGATTCTGTGTGGCCACAACCCACCTCTGTGAGGCATGGCCAGCACCAAGTTCACTGAGAGAGGGCCCTGCATTTTGGAGCGAGGACCAGGTTCCAACTCTTGTTTGTATGGGCCCGAGCTGTCTAATGGTAGTGAAACTCATGGTAGAAAGTGTGGGAGAGACTTCAGGAAGTTTCAGGCCATCCATTTATGATGGAGGTCTCCATTAACACTGAAGAAAAATGAACCTCCAAGTCATGGTTTGAATTCTGTGTGAGAAGGAAGGGAATGCCAGTGGCCAATGAGCCCGTGGGGACTGATAGTAAAACATCTACACTTCATAGATTGTGTGGACCATGCAATGCAAAGAAACATAGTTGGCACAGATAAAGATGAAATATATGTAGATGGGCCAAGAATATCTTATTCACATGACTGTCAGTCAGGGTATATAAAAAAAAATTCTCTCTCTTCCTCTGCCTCTCCTTCCCCCTCCCCACCCCCACCTCCCATAAATAGTTGAAAGATTTCTATAACAGACATCTATATACGGACTATCTAGATTCTTCTATGTTGGTATTTTACTAGATTTGCCTTACCAAACTCCTCAGTCCTAACCCATCAGTCCCTCTTGTTTTA